AAATTCATTAATAAAACAACAAATAACTGAGGTGATTTTCTTATCAAACGACAGCTTGGAGTTTAATTTTGTATCATTTTGACCAACAACTAAATTTTTCTTTGATTTTCTTTGATTTCTGATTTAATTTGTATGCATATTGTTTTATTTTATCCAGTTTCAATTCTGCTTAGTGGTGAGTAAAACAGTAAAAAGCAGGAGAAGCTTTATTCCCATCACAGTTGGTATGAGCCCAACCTTCTCAGATTGCCCCTAACTGTCAACACTGGCAAAAGAAGCACTCTATCAAATGATTATGGCCATCCAATGCTCTGCTCCCCCTCATCAGCTGATGATTAGGATATAAAGTAGTTATAGCTAAGAGACTTAGAGAGAACAACATGATCTCTTCTGTGCTGCTGCTCTATTGGAAAGATGGTGAAGATGCTAAACATGCCTGGAGCATCACTCATCTGTCCACACACACATACTACAAGCTCTGGATCAAACACACACGTTTGTGCGCATGCACAAATACAGACATGAAAAAGCATAGACTCAGAGCTCCTGCGTGTACGTCTTTGTCTCACATGGTTTGCAGTGAGTGACCAGGAAACATGTGCACACACAAACACATGCACATACTCACACAGTGAGGGTGGACAATTCACAACCCAGTGGAAAGTGTGGGTAATATGATTCATTATTTCGTTCAGCAGCAAAAAAAATCATCAAACACTGACTTTATCTGCAGACTACAAAGAATACAACAAAGCACTCTTCATCAATGGTAAAGGGCTCTATGGTTAGTCTGTACATCCCCCGTCTAAAGTTGCTGTAGTGGATTTGCTGTGGATATTTGTGGGCGTGTGGGTGGACATGCAAGAGTGCAACATCAGCCGGCCTCACCAGCATAATGCAGATAATCCAGGAAAAATAGGAGCACTTTTGATCATTTCACATCTGGTATTTTGCTCTGTAGCCCCAGGACAGCATCAATATCATCTGATGATATTCCGAAGTAATACAAACAATTCTAAACTCTGTACTGGCAGCATTCAACCGATTTATGGCTATGTGTTAATTATACACAACAAAACTGAATGGATTTAAGTTTGCCTCAGAGCAAGTTATATAATGTATTGGGATGATAATACTATAACTATCGTAGGCTTATACTTTTTGAAAAATATTGTCTAATCCTGTTTTTACACCTTATAGTGATAGATTCTCCCAGAAGGCGCCTCCTCAACACGTGTTGTAATAGAAATGAGTGGTGATGCTCTGAAAGAAAACAAGATAAATAAATAAGTAAAAAACAGTGTTAATTATACACTTTGAAACTACTTTAGGGGAAATTTTGGATTTAGCTGAGTGCTTATCAAAGAAATGTTTTCCAATTAACTTTAATGGTGCTGCATGGATAAATGGAGCCATAAGATTAAAACTCCCACAAACAGCTCGGCCGCAAATCCCTGTGAGCAGCATTTAACCAGGCTTTTGCACGGTAAATGGCACAAACACACACATCCATGGATGGAAAAAGCTACTTTGAAAAGTCTGCTGAAGTGCTGAAGACACTAATGCTGCACAAAAGGCTTACATAGGATGTGTATTTTAGGAATGAGGAAATTCAAGATACACACTTGCCATGGCAACAGGCTCTGCCTCAGTAAATCGTAAATGATAAAGGCCTAAAAAAGCAATAATTCACACATACTGAAAAATAATCCATTTTAAGCATTATCAACATCTCAAAAGCAGCTGATATAAACTGATTAAAATTGGAGTACACAGTATCTACCACTGATGATTCCTTGGTATTTGGATCTTGGAGAAACATTATCACAACTCTGGATAGAAATAAATAAATACATGTTTTCACTTGAAATGAACCTTTGAAAATTATGTACAAGTTCTTTTGGAAAAAACTATTCAGGGTAAGTGTGTGATAAGCCTTGGAGTTTGTTTCTCCTGATGTTTAAAATATGGAACCCTCAGCATGAAATGTAACTACTCCTGTCCAAACAAGCTTTATTCAAAAGGCACTTTAAAATGAGCACAGTGAACCAAAGTCCTGTACAGAAGAGTAAGTAGGATGCACAAAAAGTGAAAAAATAATTAATACATAATCGAGCTGTGGTGAATAGGTTGTTGTGGCCGTATAGCCACCATGGGTGGCTCGACGGACTCTCCAGACAAGAGATTTTGTAGCAACATTTTTTATAGTGTGCGTGCAAACATACACACTCTCTCACAAACACACGCCCAGCATTGGCATTGAGCTGACTTGCTGTTTCACAATGTTTTTTTTCCAATTCGGTGGTTCAGTCGGTTCTCCGTCTCCAGTCCTCTCTCTCCAGGTCCGGCACACTACTGTTTTTATACAAGGGGAGCATGATTAGCCGACTGATTCCAGGTGTGCTAATCACTGCTCCCCTGAACCCCCCCCCCCCCCCACACACACACACATACACACACACACACACACCTCCCTTCCTGCAGCTGAGCGCCACGACCCCTCCACAGCTGTAGTCACTCATCATCCTCTGTTTGATTTTATTAAAAGATCCCTAGATACAAATAATGTATCCTTTACTAGTGTTAGACATGTCATCAAACCATTTGTTTCAGAGCAGATCAGCACTGAATGTTCAAAACTTGTGAATAAATGACTCAGAGTGTGAATAACACTGACTCTCTCTGTGCTCTGCGAAACTCAAACTCTTTTATGTTTTGGCATAAAAGAAATGGGCTCTGTCCCCCCCCGAATCCCCTTCTTCTTTGGGTGGTTAGAACCAACTGTGCAGCTACAGAGGTGTATTTATGTTGCATTCTCTTTTGATTCCCCATCACCAAGCATGGGCAGGGATGGCCATCGCCATGGCAACAGGCGTGTAAAAGCTAAGTGTATTCTCCTGGTTCACCATTGTGTGTACATGTTAGTACCTGTGCCTGTATTATATGTCACGCCAACTGGTGAGTTGGTTTCAGAATAGATGAATTTGAAACCTCCTCATAATGAACTGAAGATTATTCAGTGTGATTTAGATTTCTGTAGTTCAGACTAACAGATGTTTACTAGATAGCAGCCTTTAACAACAACACAACAGTAATATCTCCTCTATGTAAACCCACTTAAAAAACTGTAATGAAAGAGAAAGATGTTTATTTCAGGATTGTCTCCCTTTCCTTGAGGTAAAAATGAGACCTGTTAATTGGTATATATCACATCATGACAAAGTCCAAAGCATCTGACACATAACTAAGTGGAAAATGATCACACTTTTCACATGTGTTCTGAAGCGATCCTTCTTCATATTCTCATCAACATGGGAGCATAGAAGTATGCAAATTAAAACGAGAAACCATTGTAGCAGTAATTTTACATAAAATGACTTGAACTTATGGAAGAACGACAACAAAAAAAAGCTAAAAGCTTATCACAGGAAACTCAGGCTCAATGAGCAAACAGAGAAGGGCATGTTGACCAGAATGCAACATCAATGAACATGTATGAAATGAATATTTCTGTTTGTAGAAGCTCTTATTATAAAGCTAAGTACAATAATAGCCGTCGCCTTGGTAATGAAAAGGGTTACAACACTGGCATAATCATGTTAGGGCCCAGTGATGTTTTGTTGGTTTTTTGTGTTGTTTTTTTTCCAACAGATATGAATTAGGGTAAGGCCATTCAACACATAGCAAGTAAGAAAAAGACACAAGACAAAAGTGTGAATTCACATAGTTTGAATTATAAACTATTTGTTATGGTTCTGGAGGTTTCTTTGTTCCCAAGTGAAAACTATGTAGTTTGCCAAAGGGTGTGAAACCATTTTCTTGAATGATCCCATCCAATTTCCTGCTTTGCTCTTTGCAAAAAGAAGTAATAAATTCTGTGGTTTTAGAATTTTGTTGAATGTCAAATGAGTTAAATGTCAAATTGGTCAAAAGTTGTATGCAACTGGTCGGTTACAAAAGGGAAATCTTGGGAGGAAAAAGAGAAGGTTTCTCATTGAGAAGGTTCCTTTTTCCTGTTCTTGAAGTAACACTGTGTTTTAACACAAAGATTAAGCCTGTTAGCCAGGTTTCAATGACCTTATCAATATTCATCTGGCTGAAAAACTGGCTCCCGGCAATTACAAGAACATAATATTTGTCTCACTCTTGACATCCCATAATGAGCTAGAGACATATTGCTAATGGTTATGAATCCACATTGAATATTAACCAATTTAATGAGATTAGATTTGAGGGCCTCTGAAACCAGCCGCTGAAGCAGATAAAGAATAACTATATTTTACACTGATTTCACATTCAAGCTTGTGTGCAGGTTTTCATTAAAAAAAAAACTAATTTTAGTTTTTCAATTGCTTTGGGCTCTTTTCCAACAGATTTTCCTCCTGCTTTACACGGCTTGTTTTCCCTTCACCCTTCAATATGGATATCAATTCAAGTTTAGGAGAATATTCTGCCAGCCATTGTCCTTATGGTGTTAGTTTAATTAGAGTAAGTTTTGATATTTTCGTGAATAAAATTCACCATAAAATGTCAATGAAAACAGTTTGAGACAATAAAACCAATAGCAATATGTTAAACATTTAATGCTTTTTTATATCTTGATTTTGTGTTATGTTTAAAAGCATTGAAGGTACAAAGTGCTTGGCTTAAAGCAGAGTGTATAGTGTATGTCAAACATAGTCTTCCCTTTAAACCTCATTGAATTTTCTTTAAAGCGGTTTCACAAAACATATGACTGTTATCACCTTTAATGTGTACAGTGTAGAGTCCTTTCAACTAGATTTTATTAATGACTTTACATTTGTAAAGGCCAACTAAAGTAAAAGTCTGTATTTGTCTTCCAACTGTTATTTTGATGTACAGCATGACATCATTCCCACCGAGCAAAATATTGACATAAAACCGCCCTCTGCTGGCGAAAAATAGAGCAATTTCCTTCTTTTTAAAACAAATCCCATAAAAAACGACACACCCGAGTAAATATACTTCGTACTAATTGAAAAAGTATTAAACATGCCATAGGTGGGCTGTTTACCTGGGTAGTTTAGGAGCAGAATCCTTTCCGCTGTCTTCAACTCCATTTCCCATCATGCCGCAGACGCAGCTGAGTCTCTGACGTATAATATTGGCGACGGTGATTTGCAAAGCAGCCCTAACTGACCTGATGAAGTTTAATGACAAATCTGGTTATTTTTGTCATGTACAGTTGTCACAATTGCTCGTGGTGTTTGTGAACCCCTCCGTTTGAAATGAGCCTCTTACTCAACCCTGCCGCTTCTTTATCTTACACGTAGTTTATTGGTTTATTGCAACGTCGAAGTGTCTCGTGTTGTGGCTGGACAGGTGAAGTATCTGGTTTTAAAATGACTCTTCCAGCTTTGCACAACACCGGCGTGCTCTACAGAAGAATACTGGCGCAATTCCCACAGGACATTAGTTTAGCCTTTGCCTACGGATCGGGTGTTTTTAAGCAGCATGGAACCAGCCAAGGTCAAATGGAGGTAAGAATTTCTAAACTGAGCTAACTAGATTGAAGTAACAAGAAAGTCTGCTCTGAAAATAATTACCTGCTTTGTTATTTATTTATTGTTTTGGTTGTTATTTTTGTTTGTTTCAGTGCTTCACGCCTGTATTTAGTCAGAATATTCTCAAATAAATGGATGAGCAGTGGGATACAAATGATGAACACAAATATTGTTATGCAATTATTGTAGTAATAATTAACTTCTTTAAATAAAATGTTAATCTAATCTATTCTATCCAATCTAAATATCTTTTGAAATTTAGAGTTTGAACCAAACCTCTTAGATGGAAAAAGTAACACTCCAGAAGAAACCAAACAAAATAAACAATTATCTCTTACATTAAAACTTTAACACTCTTTGACCATACTAGCGGCATTGACATGTTGATGCAAAAAGATTACATCCAAAGTCTGAATATAACGTAAGTACAAAAATAAATCTTTTGATTAAAGAGAAATACACCAATTAAGAAAATTGTCTATTGAAGAGCATTTACACCCATACTATGAAACGGTGTAGATTTTTAAGGTATGACGAGAGCTTAAATTCAGCACAAACTTATAGGACCATTGTTTCAAAGATTAGATTACATTGAAAATCTGAATTGAACATGTATTTTGGCTTCACTTTGCGATGAGTTGCTTCAGATTTAGAAAAACAGTACACTTTGTGTCTCTCTATTAACATTTTGACATTGTAACAAATGTGATGTTTTCCTCCAGAAAAACATGCTGGACTTTGTGTTTGCGGTAGACGACCCAGTCACGTGGCACACCATGAATCTGCTACAGAATCGCAAACACTACTCCATCCTCAAGCTGCTGGGCCCCACGATGATCAGCTCCATACAAAATGACCACGGAGCCTCGGTTTATTACAACACTCTCGTGCCAGTGGACGGGAAGGTAAACCGCTATTACTGTTGGAGGCAGTTGGTCTCTCTTTTGTTGATCAGTACGGATATTAAACTTCAACTGAAATTCAAGACCTTGTTTAGCGGATGAAACGTACTTCGCTGCATGTGTTTGGATCTAAGAAGTAGTTTCTAAAATTGGTTTCTGTACTTCATTTATGCACTTTTCACAGTTTAAAACTTTCTTCATTACAGATAATCAAATATGGCGTGATAAGTACAGACTCTTTGATTGACGACCTGATGCACTGGAAGACTTTGTATGTTGCTGGGCGCCTTCACAAGCCAGTAAGTATCCTCATCCTTCATACTTACTTATCAAATTAAGTTTCATGATGTACAAGGTTTGGTATTTAAACTGAAATACTTAGTGTTCTTTTTATAACGGCTCCCATTTTGACTACTGGATTGTACACCAGACCGGTCAAGACTTAGCAGGCTTAGGTGATGTGTGTTTGGACAAACGTGTGCGCACATGGTTACTATGTGGAGGTGGTCCCGTGCAGGTGAAAATGCTGGTGCAGAGTGAGAATGGAAAGCTCCGTGCTGCTCTGGTGGCCAATCTGAAGAGTGCTGTGACTGCCTCCTTCCTCATGCTGCCAGAGAGCTTCACTGAGGAAGACCTTTTCCTGCAGATTGCTGGTCTCTCTTATGCTGGTGAGCTGGCAAGTTTACATGACACAAGGAAAAAAGATTTTTGTATTAGTCCAACCAAAACCGTTTTAAAACTGAGCTTCTTGGAGTAATACACACCCAGATAAGAGTTTGGGCATCAGATCCCTCTGCATGTAAGCATTCAGTGAGACTGATATACTACATACTCCAAATGTTTATTTTTTGTATATTAAAATATTCAATCTTAAAATATTATTAAGATGATGATGTTAAATATATTGATATGTCTCATTTCCATTTAAAGCTGACTTGATATGTCTGGACATGTAGCTACAAATTTTGTCAACTTCTTGGCTGTTGATGGAAGTTTAAAACACAAAGTTCCAAATACCGAAGTGTACTTTGTAACCATCAGATCACTCAGTAGTGATTTGATCAGCTTTCTTTAGCCCGATTGTTAAAACTTCTACTTTGAAATTAGCAAAACAACTTTCAGATACTACAGTAAAAATAAAACATCTGACAAAAACAGGACATGGACGACCTTCTAGGTTTATTTTGTCTGTGCTTCTGAAGGCGATTTTCGGATGGTGATTGGAGAAGACAAGTCAAAGGTGGCCAATATTGTCAGAGACAACATTCAGTACTTCAGGGTTCTCTACAGCAACATCCTACGGGACTGCCCACTGGTGGTTTACAAAGCTCATCAAGGAAAGCTGGAGGTATGACATGGTAAACCGATAGAATTCTCACCTATCTGTAGCTACATCTAACACCTGTGGGCTACCTGCACTTTGGACTCCTATTGTTTTCTATTTCCGTGTGTAAAATGTGTATACACACCAAGCTGGTACACTTTCTCTGCACGTTTCCGGGTTTACTTTGTAACTGCTTGCACAATCCCCTGTTTTACCAGGGAAATGCGCTTCACCTCAGGCATCGCACAGCCCGGGAATAACACTCCCGGTAATAAGATAGGAGGTGTGGTGAGGAACTGTCGTTTGGTCGCCTGAGTGGCAGCTTTGCTGTGAATATGGCCGGGGGAATTGTGCACTGTGAGCTTTGCCCAACGTCTATATCCCGAGGTCACAAATCCATAAAACATATTTACCTGAAACCTGAGTTGAAAATAAGATACAAGTGGACACAAATAACTTAAACCTGGAAAAATGATCAAATGGGATTATATAGGATAATTTGCAAATGTTTTATGAAGGACCTTAGCTCCATACTCGGATGCTGACTAACTGGTATTTTCTCTGTCCTTTAAAGAAAAGACTTGACTCGCTGTGTGTTCATAGAATATTTTCGGATGCTTTTCCAGGGGATTATCTGCTGCTGTGCAGCAACTGAAGAGAAAATTTGATCATATTACCCTGCACGCCATGCAGAGATGCGCTGGTGTGACAGTGACTCGAGCTTTCGCTTTGTTTAATTTGTAAGACGGTGTGTGATCAACAACTGGGCCCCTAAATGGGTTTGTCAGATCCCTACACCTGCTTGTTACACAGTTAAAGACTCATCCCTGTAATTTCTGTTTTTCATATCTTCATTACAGCTGATTATCCTGAATTCCAATGAACTGCTGAACAGGCAGTTTGCTGTTTTTTACTGACTTATATTTATTTACTCGGGTGTGTCGTTAAATAAAATATCACTTGTTTGTGATTCTATCAAAACTGCTGTTGAGTGAAGTAATGCCTTAAAACAAGTCCCCAAAATGTCTTAAAATTATTCACATAATATGAGAGACATATCTCATTTTACTTTAAAATGAACATTTTTTGCATTGGTTAGGATGAATTTAAATTTAGGAAAAAACTAAACAGAAAATCTTTGAAAATATATATATATATATTTTTTATTTATTAATAATTGACACACATTATAATTACCTCTGTTGATACTTCACATTTGTGTCTGATAGGTCGACAAAAGCCCCGAAGGCCAGTTTATCCAGCTGATGGCACTACCCCGAACTCTGCAGCAAAGGATCACTAAACTGGTCGATCCTCCAGGAAAAAACCGGGACGTGGAGGAAATCCTGCTGCAGGTGGCTCAGGACCCCGACTGTGGGGCAGTTGTGCAACAAGGTAAACTCAAGAAAAGACAAATGGCCCTTTTAAGCCAAAGCGATTTCAGTCCTGCTTCTGGACTGTTGTACTTACTCTGCTTATTAACCCCTCTGCAATACAGGAGTAAAACACTGCTACTTTGACTTCACCTTCATGCTGCTGCTCAACCCGTTTAGTCTTGAATGAAATCAACTGCACTCTGCTCTGGCTCTGTATTTTTAAACATAGTGTTCACACCAATTTAGTTGCTCTGGTTAGTGTCCATAACCCTGCCGTCTGTTTGTGATACAGGCTCTCATTTCCTCTGGCTGCTGTAATTCCACATTTTCAGGGCTGGAGCCAGCGCTTTGTTGGTCAATGCAGAAAGAAATAGTTCTGAACTCAGCACTCCAAACCGGCACTGTAACCTCTTTGTAGAGAAAAACAAAAACCCAAAGAGACGAACTTCTGCTGTGGGTTGTGTTGCTTTTGGTGGAAAATCCATAAATAATGAGGTGAAAAAAGGGCATTTTATGGTTAAAGAATATCTAGTCTGTGTTTTTAGATGAAAAAAACATAATTTATTTTACTTCTTTTTAAAGATGTGTCTTTTGAAGAAGCAAATAAGTGAGAAGTTCAAATCTTTTCTCAACACAAAACCCCTTTAATAGAAAAGTGGTTTTGGAAGACTGCAGTAATACCATCATATTGCTGAACTATTTTTCTGCTTTTTTGAAGGTATCTCATCTATTGTGAAGACCTCAAGTATAACACAGAGTATAAAAGGCATTGCTACTGCGGGTAAGAATTCCTACATTAAGTGAATGATTGGCTTTAGAGTTGGTTGTAAATCTTAAGATCAATCAGAGAAATAATCATTTTGATGCATTTATTTGCCCTGAGGTTAGGTGGAATGTTTTTACTATATTTTAATATGATCAAAACATTGAAGAGATGTGTTAATCAAAACTCAAAATGCATCCAAATTTATGATCCAGATATGATGATTTTCTTTCATTTGCATGGATAAATAAATAAATCAGGAAGTATTGAAAGCTGTTAGCTTGATATAAAGATGTGAAACAGAAAGATACCAAACACAGTGTACCGTATTTTAAGCAGATAAATGAATGCTTGCATTTTCCTCATTCTCGATTTGTATCCCAGAATAGGAGAGTGAGTTTTAAGTGTTCCGATATTAATAAGAAATGGTCATAAAGTGGACATGCCGTTGTGCTCCTGTCCCCTTAGGTTTGTGGAAGACTGTGTCCTACAGCTCCAAAAAAATGATGAAGATGTGGAAGGGCTGGAGGAGGAAGCCATCTGTCTCACAGATGTCCTGATTCTGCCTGTTTACTGTCTGCCCTTATCACTGTCAGCCTGACGATCTGCCATCCATCCTCTCTAACTACTGGTTGCATCATTGTATGGAGCAGCAGAGAAGAGTTTCTGAACCTACCCTTTCTCACATGGCCCCGCCTTGCCGCCTTTTCGGATGTGCAGAAAAGAACACGGCAGTCAGATCCATGACCCTCCAAGGAGCCCTGGCTGAGAACCTGTGAGCTGTTTTGTCAGCATAAACATGACCGGACACAACGTGTTCAAAAGCGCGTTGTTTTAATGTATTTTTTATTAATTCTTCTTTATTTAAACACAATAAAAAAACACAGAGGGATCAAAAGAGGTAAAACCCATTTTATTGAGTGAAAAAGGGCTTAAAATCTATTTTTAAAAATAGTTCCCAAGGACATATTGCCATCTTGGATTTGTGATGATGAATAGGAACAGAAAGAGGATGCCAAAATAAGACCAACTGCCATGAAAAAGTTTGTAATTTTGTGAACTGCATGGAATTCACCGCTACTTTAAACGAGAGGGGATCTGGAATCAGTCCATCATGCCCACGCAACCTACTCTCAGTCTATGTGGTGATTGTTTCGTCTGGTGTGAGGAAACAATCAGGAAAATCCCTACTCTTGATCATTAACCTGGAAGATGCATCAGTACCCTGATCCATCTTCATGCCATGTAGGACTTTACCATTTTCACCGCTATTATCACTGGAATTTAAGCTGCTTACAGCTTCTTTTCCTGTGGCTTTTCTCAGAAAACCCATCTTTAAAATGTTGGCCACCTCCTGCATGTCATTATAAGCTGCAGACAGGCTGTACTGAGGACTAAAAGGCCGCCAAAATTGGAAAGCGGCGGGAAGAAATACTTCCATCTGGAGCTCAGCTGATGTTGATAAGCCACAACATTAAAACCACTCAGACCCCCTTTCTTTGCCCCTACATATTATACCACACTGGTAAGCTAAAGCTCTTCAGATTGGAACGATGTTCACCATTTCAGGATCCAATCACAGATGCAAATACTATAGATATGGACGATCGAAAAATACATAAATTAAAAAAGCTGCAGATATACACTTCGGTCCATATATATAATATAGTGTGTAGTACAGGCTAACATGCATCTTACATTGTCAGTGATACTGATGGGGAATGTGGACATGGGATAGGACAGTCCATAATGTGACCTTTCATCAGAGCCAATCATGACTGCACTTCAAAGTTTTAAAGAACAGCAGTTTGGTTTTTTTTCTCCGAAGGACAAGACCATGGTTTCCTAATGTCTCCGAATGGCACCCTTATGGCACACACAGGGCTATCTATAGAAAGAACTGTCAAAAATATCATTTTTGGTTGTAGCAGGTATTAGGGTCTAATTTTAAGTGGAACTAGAAAAGACTTCAATCTGAGGTCCCGTTGGGTTTTAGTCTCCAAGCTACAGCCACATTAAGGCAAATACTGTTGGAAAAAAGAAAAATCCTTCCTCAGTGTATTCAAGCTCATTTCACTCTGTGACAAACACTTAGTCAGATTCTAATCTGAAGGGAATTTCTAGGTATTCTTTACAAAAAGAGCCCTTCACTGTGTCTGGACTGCCAATGGCTCTGGAATGGCTTTAAATGTACTTTGGCTATGCTGTTTATTTTAGGCATTTAAAACAGAAGTTGTAGGATTTTAAGAAAATGTGTCAGAGACCCCACAAAGAAATGGGGTCAAATCTCTACTCAAAAAAATCCATAATCCCCATACTAAGCACAAAATGATCTGGGCAGAAAGAAATAATTCAGATAATTTTTGTGTTAGTATATCATATAATGTTTTAACTAAAACCGAATAATTAATTTAAATAAAGAAAAACTAATAAATCAGAATTAAAAAGGCAAGAAATAATTAAAGAAAAAGCTATCTGAATATATATAAAGAACGTTTGTAGTTTGACAATTACTGAGATTTTATAATAAGTAAAAAATGGATTATTTGAGGCTCAGTGCCAGAGGTAGTTTGAAGTTTGAAGAAGGAACGTCAGCAACAGTATAAACCAACCCCCCTCCCCCCCCCGCTGCTCGGAATAAAAGATGACATTTCCAGCGTCAGACTGAATGGTGGCTGGCATTTAGTGGTAGTGTAGATTAGCCCTTTTATGGTTGGTGGGCTGGGGAGACTTGGGAAGCGCTGCCAAGAGGGCCACATGAAAAGCCGCTGGAATAAAAATGGTACACACATTTACCTCAAGTTTATTGGAGAAAGGATTTGGGTTCCATGTGTCATAGATGCGTCCTCTCATTTTCCATGTGAATGCTGCCACCTTGATGGAGATGGTGGCTGACACGTCTCTCTTTACCCCAATTTTCAGTGGTGGAGCGGATCCCGTAACCTCAAATCAGTTAGAACTTTAGTCCATTTTTGACCCTCCGACAGCCTTTTAAACTTTCAGGGTCCATTATTTTGTTTACTGCATATCTGTTGGAACCAAAAGACTGTGGATCCCTCAAAAGCTGTTAAGCAAGTCTACACATCTCAATTCCTCATTCCTCAGTCACTTTGCTGAAAAAAGCTTTTCTCCTCTTGTTTTTAGTCGTTCACCAGAGTTGTTTGATGGAAGGAGACATTTTATGGTTCTTTAAGTTACTTGCTGTATTCTGATTCAGTTACAAACATATGTTAAATAAACTTTTTAAAAATCTAACTGCAACCATTACATCTTTTTGGGTTATGGTTTTAAATATCAGCCAACTCATAAGTCTGATATCAGTGAGAATGATGATTCAGCATTTTCACTATTGTTTTTTCAGTTTTTCATTATTATAGCTTCTTCAGTTTTCATACTTTTTTTGGCATTGAAGTACTTTTACATCTCCGACAAAGCTGAGCTATATGAAAGTTCCTGGCATTGTAGTCCAGCCATGTGGTGACCAGTGATCTGATGCTGTCACCGTGTTTGTGTCCTCATGGTGAGTCATACTTCTGTTGAGTCATCTAGAAGCACATCCACTCGCCTCTTTGAAATCTTTTATCTTTTTATTTTTGTCTTTGTTGACAGCCAGTCTTGGAACCAGCGTGTACTGAACAAACAATGATGTTCCTTTGACAGTTTTCATGCAAACATTTTAACATATTGTCTAAAACTGCTGATAGTGGAACCAAATGACAAAGTGTGTGTGTGTGTGATAGCTGCTCAGTCCTTAGGCCTACTGCCACACTCTATTTCCTTAATTGCACTCCATATGCAGCCTTAATAAAGCTCAGCTTTGCAGAAACATTGCACAATGTCAGCTGCTTTTCTTTTGCAGTTGCGTTTAGTATGCGTAAAAAGCCTCTCGCACATTGTTCATGACACAGAGGGGCAGCTTTCACAATGATCCCATCGAGCAAAAAACTGTCAGTTGCTTCCTGATATGTATCAGTAGGGTTAATGTGTAACTGCCCCCCCCCCCCCCTCCACCCCCCTGAGTGGGAGCTGCCCTGCTGAGAGCGCACTTGACCGGGCCGTTTCATTTCCTCGGGTGTTCCTGAGTAACGCGCTCAGTGACAGCCGCCTAACCTCCAGAGCCTGTGATGCAACGCGTTATTACCATAATGTATGCTGATATCATGGCGGGGCTCCTCCGCCAATCAGCGCGCTCCACTTTCACCACCTGCTAGGAACCGAATTCCATCATTCCAGGCATTCCTGCTCCCTCGCTCCCTCCCTCCCTCCTTCCCTCTTCCTCCTCCTCCTCCTCCTCCTCCTCGTTTACAACCAACTTTGTCCCGACAGCTCTGCTACTATTGTCTTCCCTTGTCCTGGACGCTTTCGCCGCGGGATTTGGTTTCTATCTCTACGGGATCATACATTCGGAGTGGGTTTTTTTTTTTTGTGTGTGCGGATATTATCGCCTTCGGAGAATTGCGGCGCTCGGGGTAGCACTCGAAGGAGGTATGTGTTGTTAAACATGAAGTTGTGCCCCGGACTGACGTTTTACTTCGCGTTTCTAGGGACGTGAGTGCGCTCCTTCCTGGAACGCGGGTACTAATTCGGTCCACTTTTCTGAGAAAGACGGAAAAGTGCGTGAACAAGTGCTTGATAGTGGCGCAGGGATTGTATCCGCCTTCTCAAACTAACGCGCTAGTTGAAACTTCATTCAGGAAAAACCCAGTTTGTTTGCCAGGCTCTGGGAAGCCTAACAACATGGTCAAATGTTTCAAATATTTGTATTCCCACGACGTTTGTGAGGGAAATAAGGGGGGAGAGGGTGACCCTCTAACAAAACCGAGCGAATTGCTTCCTCGCTGCTATAGTTTCATTTTAGTGCAGGATCATGGCTCTAATCCTTCCAGCACAGGCTACTTTCCATACGGACATCTGGTTGGGACGCACTGACTCAGCCTGATATAAATACGTTTGCTCAGTAGAAGAAATTTGGACGCACTTGTTGCTAAAAACCCTCAATCGCTATCACTCCTTTCCAATCGGTTCATGACAAGCATCCCTGCTATGTTTTGCCTGGGTGCTTATACTCTGAAATGTTGCCAATCAATCACTAAATCCCTGGAATAATGTAGTAATAATGTTAAATTCTCTATTTTGTTTGAAAAAAGATGAAAAACATGGCCCCGGGCTCTGAGGTCTGAAGTCTAAAGGCTCAGCAGTGTAGGGGAAAATCCTCAAAAATGCCTAAACAAACTTTAGGGGAATAGTGTCAAAATACACAGCAAGGTCACAGATAATATAGACTTAAAGTGTTGCACAGAAATGTCCATAATATAGGAAACATATGGCAATTTAGCCCTGCGTCCACCAAAGGCTCTCAAGCCTTAACAGGAAAGCCCAATCACAAATATAGGGATGTTGCGTTATCTTGACAAGTGACCTTTTTTTTTCTTTGAAAATGAATAACTTCTTGACATTGATTATTTAATTTCTATTTAACCATTTCATTTATTTTGCTCTGAAAGTTGCCTTTAATGTCCATCAGGAGTTGATGCAGAATCCACAAACCCTTTAACCTTCTGCTTCGAATGCTCACTGACAGTCGGCTATCTTTGATGTTGATATGGTTGTGAAGACTTAAACATTTAGATTTGCACTACCGTGTCCATGATTAAAAAACTCTGAACAACATTTAACTTTCAGTGTTCAGAAATAAAGTAACTTTAACACATACATGACCCTTAGTATTTTTGCCAGTATGTGATGTGCAAACATTTCCCAATTCTTTTTGTCTAATGTCGATTTCTTTCACATTTATGTCACATATTTCTGGGGAACCAAAGCTCTCTTCTGTCGTCATATTAAAACACATGACGTGCTTGATTTGGATATCTGATATTTTTACATCTGAATCGTGAGTTTTGTATTTGAGAAAAAAGACAATATTTTTTAATTGGGATAACAAGTAATGTACTAAATGTTTTAGATTTTCTTAGCTGTACTCGTTCAGCTTGATTTGGAGAAATGAATGGGTTCTGAAACTAGCCTTCCATGAAAAATTAACTTAGTTTTTATGGCAGGTACAGTATAGGATGACTGAGCTCTGATGTTTTGCCCTCTGCTTTGACTTGTAGGCATCCAAGCATGGAGACCCCGCTGGATGTTTTGTCGAGAGCTGCATCATTTGTTCACGCCAACGAGGAAGAGAGTGAGTTTGCCCTGCTTTCTTCCTCTTGTGCTCTGCTGAGAGATTTGTATGATTAGAGTTGTGCTACATATAGATGAAGCAGTGCATTATTTCCAGCCTTAACCACCCAGTCTAGTTCTCTGCTGAAAGACAATAGACGGCTTTGTGCTGCACAAGCTTGCAGATACACAAGCAAATGAGACCAACTGCCATTAGCCCTACTGCGCACTTGTGTTAACCTGCTTTCTTTGGAGTCAGGGTGGGGTGTTTGTCTCTGAAATTCCAACTGTTGATTGGTGCCCATCTTTCTGTTGCCGCAGGTTAATTATTTCTCAATCTACCCGCTTGCTGTTGTGCCTCTCCTGCACCGGCTTCTCTTTTCCCGTCTTAAAAGCACATCTGAGCTTTGCTGAAGAAAAATTCCTCCTAAGATTAAAGGGAAATGGCCGGTCCTTTTCAGCCGGCTCCTGAGCGGCCGGCACGCCTCAGAGTAAAACATAGCAGCACACTTAACATTCAGTGGATGCCACTGATAGCTGATGTTTGCCGTTCAGAAAAAGAGATTGTTCATGATTTTTGGTGGCCTGCAGCAGCTTTTTTTTTGCGTTCAGCAGTTTTTTTTTCATGTGCTATGATTGCTTTTTGGTGAAGTTGAGCTTGAGTATGCAGCTCAAGGCAGGTGGCTCTAACTATTGAAATATACTCTTAAAAGAATCTGAAGCTCCTGAAGTAACAAGGAAAACGTCAGTTTTAACTCTAAGATGATGTTAGTTAAGACATTGTTTTATTGTGGTAAACACAAGTTGACTGTTATGTTCCTTTCAAGCTGAATAACTCTGCCTCTGTATGATGCATTAAGATCCTCACTTTGTCAAAACGTTGCATAATACTCGATCAATCCAGACATCATCCAACAAAAAAACAAAACAAAACATGCTGTAAAAGAAAATTCCCTCGTGTACTGTGAGAGTGGAACTATTCTGAAAGAGCTTCAGCTGTAACGCGTCCCCTGCCAGCAGTGAGTTCCCACAATGCTTTGGCTTAAATGAGCTGAATATCAGCTTCCTTGCACTTCTGAGTAAAATGTCCTGGGACTTCTCTCCCCCTCCTCCCCAGCTCCCCCGCTCCCCTGCAGTGTTTTTGTTGTTTTTCCCCTGCACTGATGTCACTTTTTGTCATGTGCTGTGCACGGCCTCTTTGTCCCAAGACAATGCACTCGACCTGTTTCCACAATAGTGCAGAAAAAGATTCCCGAACATGCCAACAAGGAAATTAAGCTCGTCGACCAACCAGCTGCTGCGTCAAACTAGATGTGAGTATGTCAGAAAACCTGTTTGCTTTTCTGACAAACGTCTGTGACTGCTCAGACAGAACAGGGAGAGGCTTTGGCCTGCCCTCATAACAGCCGCTTAAACACAGGCCCTGACAGAAGTCTGCCAGGACCAGAGTAAAAATCAGGGCTCCAAATGAAACGCTTTGTTCCTTTTTTTTTTCTGAACAAAATCCCCACCCCTGCAGATAATCTAACTCTGTTGGAAATGTTTCAGGTCATTACACAAACGTTGTCTTGAGGAAAATTGAATGATTGTACATGAGTAATGCATTGTTATAAGGTCATGCACCTTGGCTCTGGAATAGAAAACACACTACAGTAATATTCAGAAATAGAATAGTTGGCTCATGTCCAGATACTCAAATGCCTGCGAGTATGAGAGCTCAAATAAAGTAAAACTGTCACTGCCAATCAGTTTGATTTAAATATAGATTATTCTTTGTTGAGAACTTGAGGTGAGTTTTAGTTGTCCCGCTGTCCCACGGTATCACAACGTATAGCTGTTGTGTAGAGACAAGAAAAATCAGTTAAAAAAAAAAATGACTGGAGACAGATGAAGGACTGGAGACATCTGTCCTCAAAAAGCAGTTCGAAAAATTTCAGTTTTTAATTCCTGGTACTTCTCAGCTGGACAGTCATCTGGCGGTGTACTGTGGGATACCTTCATAAATATGTGATGATTCTAGCAAAAATGACTATTCTCCTTCTATTATCAACATATTTGGGCTTATGTTTCCATGGTGATATGCCATCACGCTGTT